ATATATATATATATATAGAGAGAGAGAGAGACATTGTAAAAAACAAATGAAAACCTAACTTCGAAATATGCTAGCTATATTACGATAAATGTTGATTAATTTCTCTTCTGAAAATTAAATGTTTTATGAACATGTTTTTTAAAATTATATTATAGTAACAATATACGTATAAAGAATGTTCATCCTTTTAAAAAGTATTAAACGAAACCAAAATTTTTTTATGTTATATTCAAATCAGTGTCTTGATAAAACTTAGATTGAACCTTGCAGAAAAATTGGTTCCAGAAGAAATATTCCTACATTGTCAAAGCTGATCTTGCGATTTATTGATTGTGATTAAAAAGGCGCAGAATTCGAGGGTGAAGAGAAAAGCACAAAGTTATAAATTTTTATTCAAAAATACTTATAAAAGTTTTGACTAAATTTTAAAAAATCTATAACCCAAGACGAAAAACATCAGTGATAAGTACTGTAGCGCCATCTATTTGATTGCAAAGATATTTAAGTTGTGCTTGACACAGGCAGACGCTAGAATCTGTAATACTATTCTTATTTTTCTGAATATTCAAAGAGCTTACTGTACATGCGATAGTAAATATTTAAAAAAATAAATGAGAAAAACTACATAAAATTCCAAAACGACTGAGATTTGAATGAAAGGCTTTCACATGACAGCCGAACGCTATAATCACTGACAGCCAGTTTTCGTAATCGAATGTTAACAAATTATAAACATGCCTAACTTAAACTATCATGTTTTCTGGTTTTTCCTAATATTATAAGATCTTGCTCTAAAAATGATAAGCTAATAATTTGAAAAATTATAAAAACTTCACACTCGAGTAGGATTTGAACTCAAAGCTTTCGCTTGAGACTACCCACTGAGCCAATTTGAACGTAACTTATAAAAAGAGCGTTACGAACAGAGAGAGATAGATGTACTACTACTTTATTTGTTGTATTCCAGTTGGCTTTAAGAACTCTGGATTGAGGGAAGTGCATCGCCAAAAATGGATATGACAAATATTGTGGTTGGAATACTATTATTATACACTCTTCAAATTAACGAAAATCCCTAAGGAACTAGATTAAGAATGTGGTGTTTCAAAATGTAATAGGCCTAATTCTAATATCTTATGACAAATGCAAATGTACAGTTATTCTAGTTTTTCTCTTACTCGGCTATTTCTGATTAATATTACATTATTGTTGAATGACGTAATAACTTTACTGATACTGTAATACTTGACAATTTTAACTGTTGTGCGATTTTGTTCAATCATGACGACGCTAATTAAGCCAGCGTTTGTGTTCTTTGGTGTTTAGCCAAGCCTCTAAATTCTCTGATTAGTATTTATCTAAATAAATATCAAACTAATCATGCAGCCCAGGAAAGCTTTGAGCAGGAAATAAGTTTCCTTTGGGAGGTCACGTCTTTTGAATATCAAATGTATGTTTTATAATTGTAAAGAAATTTACACATTTTTGTATGCGTGTAATATTTTCTTTGTTTAAAACGATGTGATCAGGTTTAATAATTTAAATGTAAGGAGAAAAGGCATGACTTTGTATTTGAGAAAAATGTACACATTTGTGAGTTTGGAAGAAATATTGTTTGTTTGTAATTAAGCACCAAGCTACACAATGGGCTATATGTGCTCTGCCCACCACGGGTATCGAAACCCGGATTCTAGCGTTATGAATCCGCAGACATACCGCTGTGCCACTGGGGGGCTTTTGATTCTTGGAAATATTTTAAGGTTTAATTACACAAAGTAAAAGCAGACTCGCACGAAACTTTATCACTTGTCATCTCCTGACGGCGCAGAGTGCAAACCTCCTTCATTATAAATTTGTTCAATCAGTCAGATGGCCAGATGGTTAGAGCACTTGACTCGCAATTTGAGGGTCGCGGGTTCGAATCTCCATCCCACCAAAAATGTTCGCTCTTTCTGCCGTTGGGGCGTTATAAAGTGACAGTCAATCCCACTATTCGTTGGTAAAAGAGTAGCCAAAGAGTTGGCGGTGGGTGGTGATGAACAGCTACCTTCCCTCTAGCATTTCACTGCTAATTTAGGGACGGCTAGCACAGATAGCCCTTGTGTAGCTTTGCGCAAAATTTAAAACAAACAAACAAACTTATCACCTCCTCACGGCCCAGAGTGTAAATCTCATTCATTATAACTTTGTTCAGCTAGTGTGAGCCTCAGTTATCCCACGAATTATAGAGTTTTGTAGTCAGTAGAATGCCATTCTGAATGAAAATGAAAGCATTTTTAACGATCCACCTGCTTGTCCTAACAAAGAGATGAGATGACATTTGGATTGTCTATTTGTATATTCTCAAGATTTCTGTTACAATGTTCATCTTTGTTTGTCATTTAAGTATTTTAAACCTTCCGGTTTTCATAATATGGTACGTGTTATTAATAAAAACTTTTTAGTTAAAGTAAAGAAAGTGTACAATAATATGTTTATATACTATATCTGTACATACAGTGCCGACGAGGCATGTCTACCAATACCAAGGCTCTTCAGGCCAGCTGGGAGACGACAGATACAAGAGTGGTTGAGACGCTGTTTATGTTTGCAAATTGTTTGACAACAACTTTTATGGTGTAAACTGGATTGAGTTGATGAAGTGTAGTTTTTCATCAGTTTTTGCACACAAAACTTGGTGATCAATCAACCTTGCATCTGTGGTAATAGCA